GCTGTGAATACCTTTCCCAATAAGAGATGAGGCATATTGAAAACTATATTAAATTACCCTGATTAACAATTTAGCCACGAACAGGGGAGCTTTGGGAGATCTCTATAGGCAGGACTGGGGGCTATTCATGCCAGCAGCTAAGAGGTCGAAAGGTTTCTGAAGTTCACAGGCTCAGAGCCTTTGTTATGCTAACAGACAATCTCAAATCAGCTGCCTAGTGGAGTGTGAAATATAAATGATTCCTTGAGAACTTCCAATAAGTTGTCACTCTTGCTCTCCAAATACCAGGACAGGCTGCTAATTTCTAGCGGGCCCTTTTGCAACATTGCTAGCCCTAAATGAATGCCTTTGTAGTTCAAATAATCTTTTCAAGGGAGCTGTCCTATCATCATAGCCCAAATGCATCTTGGTTTTGACTATTAAATGAAAATCAGGGCTCAACTGTGCTTGACTTTTCCAAGAGCCCGATGTTTGGGAAGGATGGTGGCGGCTCTCACGCACAACAAGTTAGCACCCACTGCAGGAGGGCCAGGGCATCAATAACAGCCCGCAGCCCTGAGCTACCCCAACTCTCACCCCCACTCCCTACTGGGAACAAAGCTCCAGGAGAGATTTACGTGGCTTCCCTTGGGCTGGACTACCTTCCTCTTTCAACCATACCAACATTTCTCTGATTTATGGACCCTCTGGCCAAGAGGATAGCCAGCTGACCTGCTAGCATCTGACTGGTCACTTCCAAGCATCAGCTTCGGGGATGGGTGCATTTATTCTTCAGGGTAGACGAGGCTAGGGAGAAGAGGGCAAGGTGTGTGTCCAGGCCATGCCCCTAGTATAGGATGGCTGTGGATATTATTTTATCATTTTCCCATAAGAAGGATGTGAACATGGGTTATGATCTTGAGTGTGACCTTTGAGCAGGTCCAGATGGATAGAAAAACAGTCCTGGCTCTTGGAGTCTAAATTACAAAGCTTTTAAAATAAGGAAAAGCACCCCCATTCTAAATCTCAAACAAGCTGAGGGGAGTGAGAATGAGAGTCTATCAGGGAGACTGTGCTCAAACATTCTTATAGAAAGGACAATGCAATTTATACAAATAAAGAAAACACACAGACAAGAGGACAGAAACCAAAGGAAATTAGAAATCCATCTGCATCAGCCTTCACAAAGGAAAGGATAAAACCTTACAGCAATAACTGGGGTCCTGAAAATTTTGATATTTTTGACTCTATGACCTCAACTTCCTTGCTGAACTACAAACAGGTCCATGATAGCACAGAAGCCTCAGCTTTTTCCAAACAGAGCAGGTTTGATTTTTGAGGCAAGGAATGGGAAGAAATCAAATGGACTACATTTCTTAGTATATAATTAGGGTAAGTTTACAATCATATAAATGATATTTTAAAATACATCATTAAGTAACTTTATGAAGCTGGATGATACAGCCATACAGAAAAACTGAGGGCCTTGATTTCTCGTCATCTTATTGTTCTTCTAATTACAATGATTTAAAATGATTACATCAAAAATATTCTGAGGGAGTTAGCTTTTACTGATATAGAAACTGGTTTAAGTAAACACTTCTTTCTACTCTAGGTATACTAAAACTTATGACCATATATTAAAACATAAGTTAGATATAAATAAAAATGGTAGCATAACTTTCCTCAGTTTTGAAATCATCTGGCTTACATTTTAAAATCTTTTTTAAAAAAAGCCAGGGTACACAGTACAATTGTAAAGGACTCTGGGATTCAACTCAGAGAATTTGGTCCTTAGATAGGAGACAGTGTTTAAGAATCAGGTCATTTGTCTTTCAGATACTTATTTGTTTTACCCAGTAAAACAATCTGCAAATAATATTGCCTAGGAAAATTAGTTCAGATTTCTTATATTACAGGAATAAAGGTTTATGGTTTCTTCTGCCAAATATCAGAATTAGACAATAATGTATTATTGATCCACTCACACCCTTCTCAGGGGGACTTTGTGTTCTTGTTATCCTTATTTTAGAGACAGGAAAGTGACTTGCTTTGGATGCACTTCTAATTACACAAAACAGAGGCAACACTGATAAGCTAAAAGTGGAGAGACAATGTGCCTAAATTTAACTATTCATCTCTTTTCCATTTTAAAAAATTTAATTAATATTAAATGGTAGAGTATCTACACGTTATTGACACATTCTAGACATTCAAAGGAGAAATACTTTCCCTGTGCTTTCCAAATACTTATTTTACCATGTCGAAGTGTCCTCTCTCTTTCCGTCTTTAACACATCAAAACAGGGAAGAAAGCGCTTTTGTATTATAACTACAGAGAAAACATTTGAGAATGTGTCAATGCACTGAATACCAGCACCAGTTTGGGGGTTGGTTTGTTTTTTCCCCCTGCCGTGGTATTTCTTTTCCCTCTGCTTTTGCAGTCTTTAAACTCTGACCACTTTGAGAAAAGCAATGGTTGAAATGAAAAGTTAGGACAAATTGCATTAAACCTGTGTGTTGCCAGAATATGAGCGTGATGAAAGCAGGATTGGGACATTATGGAGCCATTGCAGCTCTCCACACACAGAAAATTAAATAAAATAAAAAGTAAAAGCTTTTTTTTCCTTTTTTTTTTTTTTTTTTTTACTCTTTCTTAATTCCTATGATCTAAGAGAAAGGGAATTCCTGTTTTAAAAAAGTTTCCAGGGTTGCCTTTTCTCCATAGTGGGAGTGTCTGAATGCGTGTGTTTGTGTGTGAGTGAGTGTTGTTTGGGGAGAAAAGAAAGAATGGGGAGGAGGGAGGGCAGATAACTTTACTGACATATTAATTTTTTAGATAGCAGTAAATGAATGGTCCAAATAGACATTTGTTTCCCTTAATAAGTTTTGTACAGGTCTCCTACAAGCTGTGGCATATGCTTCATTTATATGTATATTTATTTAGAAGGTTAGAGAATAATAGGTAGAGTTTGTCTATAGTAGCAGTTATTATTTAAAGTCCAAAGAGGTTACAACTTTTCTTCTATACCAAACATGAATACAAAGGTCTCTTGTATATGCCTCTTGCTTTATGTTGAGGGCCAATTAAAAATAAAGATAATATTCTAACTGTCGAGCCTTAGGAGGCGAAAGAATGAGGCTAAAAGGCAAAACGACTCCAAGATGGCTGCCTCTTCCTTCTTCCCCCTCCTTACTGCCTGTTTTCCACATGAAAATTAATGTAATATTTTGTTTAGAAATCACATTGTAGGTCATTTGCAAATGAGGCAGCCTCTGAGGCACCAACATCTGCCTAGAATACCCTCACGATGCCATCGAGGTATGGAAAGAGATTAAAATGCAAACATTCAAATGTATTTAGGTTTGTACATAGTGACTAGACTCACGCACATACACTCTTGAATGTGTGAACAACACACACAGCTGCTAATGGAATAAAAGGCCAAAATCCTTCTTAATTCTTAGGACAGAAGCGCAAAGGAAGGCGCCAGGCCACCACCTTTCTCCCTAAAGGTTAGAAAATTCACTGTTCATGGTCTGGATTCGATGTTTTAAAAAAGATATATCTTACTGATGACTCTCTCATTTGCCAGACTTCTGAAGTCTGGGGAGACAAGATTTCCATAAATTATCTCTCTAACTCATGCTGGTGCAAAATGCAAAACTATTTTTTTAATTTTTAATATTTTTTAAAAAGAGAAAATACTAAGCTAACCAGCTTCCTGACAAACATGTTAAAAGATTAAGATCACTAGTAATTATTACTATTAATTATAATAAATATATTTTCTATCATAAAACCCATCCATACAGCCAAACTAAAAATAATGTAGGAAATAAATAAAAGTATATTTGGCTCTTTCTAACAGATTGATAGCAGGTTACTGTGCAGATTTAACTGCATTAGGCAAAGAACAAAGCAAATGGTTTAGTTCCTGTAGGAAATATATTAAAAAAAAAAAAAAGGAAAAAACCCCACAACCCTTTATCTAAAAGCCATCAGGGACAAGCACTCAATACAAGTTAACAAGCAGGAACTGATAAGATAACATTTATATGAGGTCAGAAGTCAAATGCCAGTCAAAGGCTTTTAACCTCTTGGGTCATAAACAGGAATAGTTAAAAGTGAGAGGTAGTTATTTATCGGATTTTAAGGGTACCTGATCATTGACAGAGAATCACCGATGATGAAACTAATTGGGATTTATAGAAATAAAACTTTGTAGCTGTTCAAAGAAAATTAACCTACAAACCCACGATTCTTCAATTGGTAGGGAGAAAAACAAACAAAAACCCCTCTTTTGGGATAGAAATAAATCTGGCAATTTAAACAGTAACAAAATCTCTCTCAGAAGCAATAATTTATTACTAATATACATATCGATTAATATATAGTAAATGATTTTAAAAATAAATTCTGTATCAACAACCTAACAGAAGTAAGCATTACATGATGGATTTCCAAGTTTTGTTCTTTTTCTTTTGTTCCTTTTCAGAACCTCTAAACTAGACAGAATATAACTCCAATATTACAATATTTCTTGCCCTCAGAATGCCATCATTTGTAAATTTAAATATATATACTCTAATAGCAATTCTTTTTAAACATTGGAATACTGAAACTGCTTAATTAAATTTTTATCTTTATCTATCCAGAGAAACAGATGTCTCTTTTATTTGCTGTCAGAATATTTTTTCTTTGTTTTGATTTTTGTCCTTTTTGTTTCTCTTTAGGTTTACATTCCAAACTCCCAAACGTTCCTGGTCTCTGCATCCATGCTGGTTCATATTTTCAAAGCATACCCACCCCTCTTTTTTCTTTTGCAATAAAAGAAAGTAGATCTAGATATTTCTTTCTAGAGAGAGATAGAGGGATTGTTGTTAGGCCTGCTAAGGCCCACTGTTTCTTTAAACAGAGTCCATAATACCCTAGGCGAACATTGTGGATTTAAAATGCTTTTAAATATTTATCACTAGTATTTTATCATCATATTCAAATGACACCTGGAGTGCACTCACCTTTATTGACAATCTCTGTTCTGAAAGTCCATTTGCTTCCTTAAAGCCCCCCAAGCAGAACAAGGACTACCCGTTTTCATTCAGTTAATGTTTAGTAAAAAACCAAGCAACCTTAATCAGCATGCTGATTGCATCGTCAACTAACAAATAATTTACTACTCTGAGCATTGCATTCCATTAAAAGCTCATTAAATTTTCTGTTCTCCAATGGGAGGTTTAGCTTTTGAACTGCATGCTTTTGCTTCGAATGATCATTTATTCAATCTTTGCAAAATGTTGTGGTTTTTATTTCCTAAAGTATAGGTGAGCATTTCAATACCTATAGATTGTAAACCTATGGAAACACAGCCCAGAATTGGAGAATGTTCAATTTGATTTATAAACTCTATTTAATAAAAATTCAACACAATCTCTTGTACTTTTAGTAAATCCTGAAATAGTTGAGTATATCTGTAATTCTGTGTGACCCAAACAAACCTAGTCTCAGAAATATTAATACATAATATAAAATATTAAATCCTTTCTTTAATGCTTAAAATTTTCTTTTCTGCCTATTATAGCTATTGTTATTTTTATCCTTATAAATAGCTGTTTTCTACTCATTGAAAAAGGGGCATGATACGACAAAGCTCTACCCTATTTGATGCCAAATTTAATACTTCGAGGCGGGGGGGGGGGTAGGTGGTGGCTAGCTACCCAAACAAATCCACATTTTCTGAGGTTTGCACATTTAAAAAAAACTCATAATCCCCCGAATTGTTTTCATGCCCAGGCTTGTCTAGGAAAGAGTGTATTTATTATTTTTAATTTAGGGAAATGTAAGAAAATATTAGGCCCCCAAATTAACATGCATCTTTGGATTGCTAATTGTGCTCATTGAAATTTGGGTCATTTTGCATGAGTGACTCTAATGTAGGGCTGAGATTGCCACGCAGCCAGCGCAGTGGATTCCTGATTCCCCGTGCTAATCCTGAACTCGGTGATTGTGTCAGGTGCAGTTCTGTATGCTCTAGCAGCTGGCTCATCCTCATCAATGCAAATAAGGCAACTCCTACAATCAGAGCCTCGCTAGTGTGAGGCCTGATTGCTGAGGGCAGGCTAAAACACTACACAGACTCTCACTTTCAAATCCCGCTAAGTGACAAGACAACTGCAATGTCCCTCCAGTTCAAAATCAACCTTTCGAAAACAAAACAAGAATAAAGGGATGGCTACAAAGAGGAGGAAAACCCCAATGTTTGGGAAGTGGACTTGTTTAGATGGGTTTTATTTAGATACAGAGATAATGTAAAGTGCATTTCAACAAATAATTATTTAGCTCCTATTCTGTGCAAGACACTTTGCTTTAAGAACTGCAGGGGATACAAAGGTGAGGAAGAACATACTTCTGGCTTCCAAGGAACCCCATCACTTGATTGCAGAAAATGGTAAAGATTAAGATAATAGCAGAACTATTATTAAGGAGCAGTCGCCAAAATCATAAATGAAAACCAGAAAACATACTTTTAAGGGAAGTATTTAGAGATGGCATATTTATGGCATAGATGTTAAGAGCAAGGCTCTGGAAGCTTGGGGTTCAAGTTCCAGCTTTGCCACTTATTTGCTCTAGTTCCTTTGCCTTTCTAAACTGTAATGTCATCATCTGCAAAACGGTGGCAACACAAGCACCTAGCTCAGAGATCTCAAAGAATAAAATGAGATTATGTAAATAACAACTTACCACAGTGCTTGGCACATAGTAAATGCTCAATAATGTCAGCTATGATTATTATTATTTCCTTCTTAACACACAAAGAAGGAGGGGATCCAAAATTAGCAGTGTGCCACAGTTTGAAAGGCATTTATTTGATCTTGTCTCTAAATTCCCATTTTACATGTAGCACTTACCCAGTGGAAGTGAAAATACAGTAAACGCTAAAGAACCCTGTGTCTCTCGGTGGTGTCTGGACAACCCTGGCAACTCAGAACATGAAGGAGAGAACAAGAATTCCCTGTGCTTTTCCTTTTCTTCTTTTCCAAACACGTGTGCAGACTTCCCCTGCATTTCAGCCCCACCCTCTTTATTTTACTGCCTAATCTATAAAGGAGGATTAACAGCAGCACGCTGCTTTGGCACGGAGCAGATTCTGGGTGAGGACCTGTAGGTAGAGTTTAATGAATTCAATTTTCTAGGACTGTGAGTGCATATTTTTAGCTCCATGCTGGGCTTCAGCATTGGCTCTTGAGACAGATGAACAGACCCTTTGATCAGATTTGGGTGTTGCTTCAAGAAGAACCTTTTCTCAGAAAGTAGTTAGGGGAAAAAAATTGTCTTCTGTTTCCCTTATTCTTAATGTGCACTCTATAGATTCAGATTCCAGATAACTGGTCCGGGTCCCAGTAAATTAATTGCACTGCATTACTGAGTTACACCATTGTGGAAAGAAAAGGTACTTCTGGGCAGGAACAGATCCACTTTCTCACGAAAGATAATGGCTGGTGCTCAAGTGTGTGGTTGCCATCCTTTCCCTTTTGAGAATAGGGTAGAGGTAGTTAACCTTCCTGGGGGAGGTTTGGCCCAGGCAACATCATAGACACTATATCCCCCCTGGAGTTACCAAACAATAAAACTGCTTCCTTTGCCAAACACAAAGAATGGTCTGGAGTTGGATATTAGCAAACAGCAAACCACATAAAGAAGATAAAAAAAAAAAGGGGGGGGGGAGAGAGGGAGAAGGAAGAAATGAATAGGAAGAAGGATGGAAGAAAGGAAGCGAAATTACATGAGGAGAAAAGCATAAAATAAGATCTGTTTTCTGCTTTAGCTTGCCAGAAAGAGAGGGCAGCCATCCAGTTTTGTCATGATTTTAGCTAGTGCCAGGCAAAGATGGGAAGGTGAAGAAGAAGGGATTTTGATGTAACACCAAGCAGGTCAGGTATGAGGCACGGGGTCTTTTGGAAATAGCTGAGACTTTAATACCTTGGCATTGGGAGAGTGTGCACAAGATGGGGAAGGATTTGATCTTTTGCATTCCTGCTCAGGACCCTCTCCTTCTCCTATCTAATAGGATTAACAGATATTTTCCTAAGCAGAAATCAAAATGTGTCAAATCATCTGAGACAGTCAATTTGTTCACAATGCCCACGTTCTTACAGTACAGATGCAACACTATTCAAAAATAGTTTCATTTCAAGGGATACAATGCAGCAGAGATGTAAACATTTATCTTCATAATCTTACCCTCCTTTCAGACTGCTTAATTTTTCCCAGTGATTTTCCCCTCCTCTTTTACTCTCCCCGCCTCACCCCCACCCCAGCCCAAGCTTCAAAACATCTAGTACATAAAAGACATGACTTCCCCAGAGGATTCGGGTCTCAGTGATCCTGATGATGCAATGTGTGCTCTCCATTATTCCTGGGAGCTCACTGGATATGTTCCTGTATCCCGCCTCACAGCTTCAGTTGTCCTTATTTTTGTATGCCTTACAAATCCTCCATGAACACCTGCAAAGGTTACCTCCACTTCTTCCTCCCACCTCATTCCAAGTTATCAGGACTCCTTCCCCACCTCGACACTCTTCTTTATTGTTATTGTTGCCATTATTATCCTCTTCGCCAGTACAGCCCGTGTGGTTTCTCTTTAGGGAGGCATTAAGTTGCCTTCCTTTGTGCTACCTTAAAACTGCTTGTCCTCTTCCAGCTCTCTTTGAACACAACAGACCACTGTCACCTTTGGAAGGATGAACAAAAGTAGTTAGAGTAGGATTCCAACTTCACATTGTTGGCATTCCTGAAAATCTCATGCATTTTCATTGCCCCCTCCCCACTTCCCTTCTTTCTCATTGAGACCCCATAGCAGCAATTAGAAGTTCTGAAATGAATAGAAACAATAGCTACCAGTGTGTGTTATTCTTAAAACTTGAATAGTAGACATTTAGCAAGCAGAATAAAGGCTGGTTTTATTCCTCTTTCTTATCACTTGTATATTCAGTATACATGTATAGTTTTTTTAAAAGTGGATTACAGGCGAGGTGGCTCACGCCTATAATCCCAGCACTTTGGGAGGCCAAAGTGGGCTGATCATGAGGTCAAGGGATCGAGACCATCCTGGCCAATATGGTGAAACTCGTTTCTACTGAAAATACAAAAATTAGCTGGGTGTGGTGGTGCGTGCCTATAGTCCCAGCTATTCAGGAGGCCAAGGCAGGAGAATCACTTGAAACCAGGAGGTAGAGGTTACAGTGAGCAGAGATTTCACCACTGCACTCCAGCCTGGTAACAGAGCAAGACTCTGTTTCATTAAAAAAACAAAACCAAAAAAAACAAAAACAGAAAAGTGGATTACTAACTATAATCTCCATAACAACATATTTTCCTTTGATATATTTTGGGTGTCTATTTCACCATAATTCCCTATGTGATTGTGGTGTCAAAATATAATAAATTGGTCCATTCTACCTAGAAAGCCCTCTCCACCATTTTTCTTTCCCACCTGTTAAAACCCTACCCGTATGTGGGATCCAACTTATACCACATCTCCTCTAGGAAATTTTCCCCGATCCTCCCAGAAGAGTTACTCTCCCTCCCCCAGGGCTCCTAGTGAGGGTGTTTATGTCTTTCCTCTCTCACCCACTGGAGTTGGTTTTGTATTCTAGCCACTGTTGACCTCTGTCTGCACACCAGACCAGGAGGCCTAGAGCACAAAGAACTTATTTGTCCTTTCTAGTTTCTCTGCCACTCCTGCAAGAGAGCCTGGAATAGCAGAGTGACTCTGTCAACTGAAGATGATGTACATATGGATGGTATCTCAGCCTTCTGAGCCTGAGAAAAGGCCACCGGTACCTGTTATGGGCATGTCTGCATGAAGGTGTCAAGCCACTCCTGGCCCTTTTCTCCCACCTCACTTCCACATATACATGACAATGATTTTGAGGCTTCCTCACATTAGAATTTTTAATATTTTTTTCATCTAAATGCTCATCTTTAGTAAATAAAAAACTAGATGAATTGTGAAGTGAGAGAATTAAAAAGTGCTATCTTATATCTGAATGAATAAATCATTTATATTAGCTCTTCTGTTTCTAGGCTAGTGTGAATTGGCAACAAATACGTAAGCATCAGTATTCTTCAACATAGTGTATTTATTTATTTTTATTTCTTAAGCAGTCTGACAAGTTATTTACTGTGTCAATTAGCATTGGCCTGAAAAGGAGAAAAGGAGTTGCTGTGCTACATGTGTTTATGTTCAGCTTTTGAGTCATCCTGGTAAT